GCTGAAATTGTGTTGCTTCCGGGTGGAAGAACCGTAGAAGTTCCGCAGTTTGATTTGCTCAAGAAGACGCTCAGGAGCTCTATGAAAACCCATTCATGGCATCTGCTTTGTGGACCCTAGGACTTATGTGGATATTCTGGCTGGTGAACATATCTCTGGGAGACAGGTCTGTGGGCGTTTCGACAAAGTAGCCGCAGCACTTCAGCAGATGGATTTCTCACAACGACTGCACCTGCATAGCGGTGAGTATTTCTAAGATTTTTTGACAAAACTGGAGGAAACTTAATCTGTACTTTTGGATTGTATCGTAATCACTAATATTCTTTATTAAAACAGTTTTCACAAGGTTTCGATGTAGAGGTGGGCTAATTAGTGTTTTGACCATAATGTACTGTTTAATTTCATTCCCGTTGCAAAGTTAGTTGCCCAAGAATAACATTCAGCAGACTGTAGATACGGCTAAAATCGGGGATGGTTGTCAGTAAGTTTGAAGCGGGTCGCATATATTGATCGGATATGTGTGTGGCTGGGTCGTTGGAACAAAGTGGGTGCTGTTACCCATTTCTGCTTTTTTTTTCATCGTACATACCTCCATGTAGATCTCGGATGCCAACTCTCCGAAGGAAAAACTGGTGCACGCCAATTTTGAGATTCCGCCTGAGTATCGTGAAATGCATAGCATCGAGTGAGTTGGGTCTTCAAAAATATTAGGTAGTCTTCCACTGATATTCTTCACCAGCTACTCGGTCTCTCATTTGTTCAAGGACTCCCTGGCACATCTGACACGATCTCTCCGGAGCAGAGAAGAAAGGGGTATTAGAGGTAGGTCTTCTGAGGAAGGGTATTGGCCAGAGTGCATCATTGTGATCACTCGGTTGTCGCCCACAAAGAGTTCGGCATTTTTGAAGAGGTGAAAGTGGATGTGCTGTGCCTCCCTACTCTGCGAGTGAAAGAAGATGAATCATGGAAAGGATCGTCATGTTTTATGGACATTTTGGTCATGCGAATTCGAATTGTTCTAGTTTTTTTTTGTATGGTAATTGTCTGCCTCTTTGATATCCCGAATTTATCGAATCTAATCCAGCGTTATATGGAAATACATACCTCGCAATTCATTCTCATCGTACGAAGCTTCATCGAAGAACCGAAATCATCACGTCAACGGTCAACCTGACTTTGAAAATTGTGAAATCTGATCACATAGCTCTCTGCTATGTCACCTTGGGAAAGGCCGAAGCCCCTGTTCCTGATTTGCTTCTTGAGCTGTGTGTACAGTGCAGCATCTTCAACAGTCTCACTTGTTCTCGAATGTCTTCTCAGCTGCGAGGATCAATACTTCTCGTCATTTCTGTAATTTCAATTGTCAGGATTCAGTAGGATGGTGCGAGATATATGATATCATTAAAGTTCTTGGGGTCAGCAGATTTCTCTGTCATCAATGTCATGTCATCAATGTCATCTCTGCCTGATGTCAATGTCTGGGTGAAGCCACCCTGACGCTCCCCCGAAATCGACCGGCGTGTTCACCTCAGGTGATCCTGACATCTCTTCCAGCTCAGCGAAAAAAGAATTTCTCCTCTACCTTCAGAAGAGATTGATTTTTCGCATGCATAGCTTCTACGGTGTTACAGATGCGACGCTGTTGAGATCTAGGTAGTCAAGGGCGATGCTGTCAGATCCTATCGTCCACACCCGTTTAGTGCAAAGTTAATCAGACTGCAGTGAGACAACTGGTTGCGATTCGATTCCGAAGCAGCTCCTTCATCTTGAAAGTTGCTTGGAGAAAAATTTGACGTCATTCTTAGGGAATACCCCCACCGTTTCGTCATATGGGAATTGGACAGAAAAAGTTAGAGCGGGCAGCATTCTCCACTTATTGTCAGCTATATCCACTGTCTGCTGAATGATTTTTCTAGCGCAACCTTGGCCCGTCCTGACTAAATATTTGATTCCAACATTNAATCCCCATTATCTTGGAGCGTTCCCACGCCTTGCTCGCAGGCTTTTCAATAAAGAACTGATGGGTTGGCATTTTTCTCTCGAGAGCTTCCACTGGGTGCTTCCCAATTAATCCAAGGTTATTGTGCATCTCAAAGAAGTTATGATTATAGATGACCTGCCACCAGTGCCCTTGTCCACTGCGAACATCTCCTATATGCTGCTACTTTGCAAGTTGTGTAACATTATCCACTTTTTCCTGTTTCTGACTAGCCTCAGTTCCTCTCTTCCCGTTAGGCACAGTTCACGATTATTTTACGGGACCTCTCCAAACTGTTGATGGAAAATAGTGCACTGGCGGCGGAAAAAGTGAGAAAATCCACCGACTCCAGCAAAAAATAGGGTTTTCCGAAAGTGGAGCAAGTAGAAGCCGGACGGGATTATCTTGACGAGGATGACATGGGAGGGGTTGAGACTATTCCAATTGGGTAATGAGCTGGCTAACTGGGTCAAAAATGTCAAAAACTGCCACTATCCCCGTGGACCACGACCTGTTCGAACTGCCAAAATGAGTATTTCTTGTAAATGATTTAGACTCTACAACGCAAAAAAACTCTTCGCACATGGGTGTGGCATTCAGTCGATATAATTTTTGAACTCTTGCAAC